GACTCACAGAGGAGCAAAGGCACTAGGCTTTTTGTTAACTCACTAGAGGTGTTCTGCTGAACACAGATACCACTTCTGTGGAGTTAAGCAGTTTAAGGATAAATACAAATATTAAAGGCAGAAAGTAAATGACACCAGAGATTTTTATAGTGGTTCAAGGAACAACTCGTTCCTCTAATCCACTGTTCCACTAAGGTTTGAAGTAAACAGTTACAAAGCCTTAGTCCTATCACTTAAGAAGCTCTCCACGTCTTCTTCAAGTGTAGATGTCTCCTGGGATGCACTTCCTTGCTTCCTTTAAGACTGGTCCTTTCACTGAGCTTCCTGGAAGTATACCCACTTCACTACTCCAGTTACTTGGACGCCCTTCTTTGCAGAAGATGTTCTATAGAAAAACAGAGTTTTTCTCCAACTTGCTTCGTCACAAAAGATTTGTAAATGAAGTGCTTGAAGTTGTTGAAGAACTGGAGGAACTTTGCTCTTGTTGGAGTAGAAGGATATAGGAGAGTATGATCTTTCCAACGTAAGCTTTTCTTGTTGATGAAGATGGAGTTTGAGTCTCAAGAAAGCTTTTGAAGATTGTGGAGAGAGCAAAAGTTGTTCGGTTGTTCTTCATCATGTATCTTTTATACTAGGGTTGTCTTCCCGTTGGAGGAAGAGACAACTGCATTGAATGCGCGTACTGTTGAGTTGACCGGTTGGGCCCGCAAGTTTGGCGACTTGCTATTTTGGGATAGGCTTTCCAGAAATCTCAGTCAATCATCAGCTTTAACTCTTTTAGAGTGTAGAGCTCATTAAATGAGCATTAAATGTTGTCCTGTAGCATTTCCGTTGAGTATGAGCTAGCCATTGAGGGAATCTTCCGTTAAGGTAGCCGGCTAAGCTCGCGTGAGAATTTGACAAGTGTGAGGACTTCTGTTGCCGAGTTCAGAGAGGCAGAATACAGATGGCCTCAAGTTCTTCTGTCCATTAGTAGCTCAATAGAGGACCATGAGCACTTCTGTCAAGTAAGCAGTCAACAGAGGGTCTGAGTACTTCTGTCAAGTAAAACTCAACAGAGGGCCTGTAGGTCTTCTGTCAGTCGACTACTCTAAAATGCTTACACTTAGAAAATTTCTAATACATCAATTCTAATGGGAGTACTCTAAAGTTCTAATTAATCTAGCATCATCAAAATCTAAATACATCTATTCCTTACAGAAGAGGAAGAGGGAGAGGGAGAGGGAGAGGGAGAGGGAGAGGGAGAGGGAGAGGGAGAGGGAGAGGGAGAGGGAGAGGGAGAGGAAGAGGAAGAGGAAGAAGAAGAAGAAGAATTATAATTCCGTATTTAGACACGCATTTGATGTGTGTTGGATTGGATTTTGATGGTTTTCCTAGATTTAAGGAGTTGCAAGTCTCAATTTTAGCTCAAGTTATGTTTACCAGGCGTTGGTTCGAGTTTTGTGTCATTTGGAGTCAAAACAAGGGAATTTGAGACCGGCATCGGCGCTTGAGGAGCAATTGGGATAACTTGAGAAGCATACGAGAGTGAATTGAGAGCATTGGCTACGGGATCAAAAGAAGACGAAAAGAGCTTGAAAACTGGCGATCAGAATGACCTTCTGTCAATTGTTCAAGCATATCTCCTTGTAGAAACATCCAAAGAACACGATTAAAAGTCCATATAAAATCTAACTTCAAGGGCTACAAATCATATGAAGACACCTTTGCAAAAATCCAAGAGAAAGAAGGTGAAAACAGACGACGAAGTTAGATGATCTCTGCTGCAATTTCAGAATGATACCTTCCACCATTGTGATCATATCTCTTTATTGGATGATTCAAATCACAATTGGAAAATTGGGGTAGATAGAGGACTTCATTATCTACAACTTTCATGAAGGAAGCATTGCCAAATTCGGAAGTTAAGTAGGCACGATCGTGCTCTCAAAGTCAGTCATGATCGTGCGTGAAGAGAAAGCATTGTGGAGCTACTGCCAGGCAGGCACGATCGTGCCTGCCCAAAATGCGCGTTTTTCTTCCGGAGGCACGATCGAAGGCATGATCGTGCCTGGCACCGTGCGGCCGTGCCTGCCTCTTGAAATCCCAATTCAGCTCAAATTTCACCCGATTTTTCTATTTAAACAGCCTGTAAACCCCCGTTTTCGAGGGAGAGCTTAGAGAGAGTGCCTAGCACGATTTTTAGAGGGCTTTTCAGCCTTGTTCATCAATCTTTTGGTATTCTTTGTAAGTTCCACCTTTTTAATTAATGACAATTAATTCTTTTTATTCCAATTCTATTGATTCTTCAATTATGAATTGTGAGTAGTTTAAGTAGGGATTTGGGATTGATGAAGGGATTGATCGTGATGTATGGCTAGTTTCATGATGGATTAATTGCATGAATGCCGTTTAAATTTTGTTTGAACAATTTAACTTATATCTTTTGTAACCTAGAACGGCCGCTAGAATTACAATTGCTTGTAGAATAAATTAAGAGAGATCTAATTTATTCTAGGACACATTCACACACACTTAATCGTTCGCTAAGAGATTAGTAGCGATTAAGGGGCCGTAAGCTCGCTCGTCTTGGCAATAATTTAGGATCCTGTCGCATGAGAGATCAGCCTGGTCCCCTAAATTATTGTACTCTACGCCTCGAGAGCGGTAAGAACTTAGTAGTGATTAGCTAGGCTCAATTAAATCAATTTCATGTAATTAGGCCTGATCAGCCAGAAATCTGGTTACCCCAGAATCAATCTCTGTTCCCTTCGTCATTAATTAGAAAGAACCCCTTAGTCTAATCGTTTCATTCACATTTTAATTTCCAAATCAACCATTTATCTCGCACGACGCATTTATTTTATTTCTTTTTAATTGCTGAATTTAATTAATTCTTGATTCCCTTTTGTCTGTCCCTGTGGAGACGATACTTGTACTTACACCACTATACTACGATCTATTTTAAGTGCGAGAAAACTCACATCAAAGAAGAAGAAGAAGAAGAAGAAGAGGAGGAGGAGGAGGAAGAGGAAGAGGAAGAGGAGGAGGAGGAGGAGGAGGAAGAAGAGGAAGAAGAGGACGAGGACGAGGAGGAAGAGGAAGAGTTTCTTTCCGTCCGCAGCAAGGACATAGGCGCAACAGGGATTGATCAACATTGAGTCTAGGTTCGACTTGGTGCGGCGATCTGTTTTGGTGCCGGTATCCGCTTCAGGCGGTGGTGCAAGGGAGTGTCGAGGGGGTGTGCTGAGTTTGAGCGTGAAGGAGACAAACGAGCTTTGTACGAGCCAGATGTCAAACTCGATCATCGATTCTGGAGGAGGTCGCGGATCTGCGACCAATAAGGCTGTGAGGTATGCACCCCGATGCCGGGTTGGGTTATCCTGGCCTTGTTGGTCATTGAGATGGAAGTTACATCAGTGGTTTTTTATCAGGGTGGTACACTGATGGGTTTGGACTTGGAAAAAGGAGCTGTTTTAGACTCCAAACGGCGGGGAGGGCGGCTAACGTGGTTGCTTTGGCAGAGCTGGCACGGAGAAATTCGGATTCAGGAAAGGGAGAAACAAGATGAAGAATTGATGATTCGTCCCCCTCCTGATCCGCCGCCATGGAGAAACCGTGCGGATACGGTTTGCAAGAGTGTTTTATTAGCTATTTTTTATTATTTTCAATCCAGTCTACTTAATTATTTCTATTTTGGTATGTTTAGGTCAAACATTGGTTTGAACCTTGGTTGTAGGTTGGTGTTTGTTTTGTCTTGCTCGGTTTGGGAGGTTAATTTTGGTGGAAGCGATAAGGCTTGTTTGGCCGTTAAAAGCTTCGAAACTCTCACATGGTTCATGAATAGTCTCACTCTGTCTGGGGTGGTCTATTCTAAGTCTACCGGAGTGTGGGGGGACCTTTGGGCTATGCGGAGCCTCACGAGGAGGATTGGCGTTGCAAGGGGGTAGTACTCTAGCTTAGAGTTTTGATTGAGGAGGTTTGGCATTGTAAGGGGGGAAGTACGTTGAGAAGTTTGATTAATTTAATATAATCAGTTTTCCTTTCAAAGAAAAGAAGAAGAAGAATAATAAATGCCGTGAACGGCGATGTGAAGGCAGACACAGCGATTGGGATGAGGAGGCAAGCTAGCGGCGGGGGCAACGACTGGTGGTGTCGAAGACGGGTTGTCTGGTTGCGGCGGCATCTATTACTTGTCTGGTCGTAGGACCCGTAGATGAAGTTGAAGGAATTGGTCTAGGGAGAGATGTAAGATTGCTGAACCAAGAGGGGGTGTGAGAGGATTAGATAATACGATGATGGGCTGAAGCAGGGCCGAAAGGCCAGGGTTATTTCAGTCCATTTATTATTAATAGATCACTTTTTATCTATTTTAAATGTGTTCCTGTATTTGGAAAATGGAAACTCACACGCAATCGCACTCGGCCTATGTGTATGTGTGTGTACATGTGTATGTCTATGTGTATATGTATGCGTGTACGTGATATATGTGTATGTAATATGTGGCCCATTATGTATATAAATACTTATGACCCCTTTGCTTGAATTTTATTTTTTTATTTTTAACTATAGGCCCAACCGAATATAACATCTGTTTTTACACTTAAAAATAGTAGTTTATGCTCAAATTTTAAACTCTAGTTATTTCTTTTATAAATATTTTTTGTAAACCTTTTATGCTTATGAATCAGAGACATATTTACATTAATCAACTCATAACGTAATCGTACAAGTGTTCTAAATGGTTTTGATAATTCTGAAAAAGATTCTAGGTAACCCCAGGCGAGACAACTCACTCTTCTAAGATGTATGCACATGTAGGTGGCCCAGTTAGTTACAGGTCGGGCTGAACCTGCCCACACTAATGGGTAGAAGAATTGGAAAAAGCCTGACCTGAACCCGACCCTAACTTGTTTTTGTATAAGTCTAAATATTCATCATCATTAAACAACTTTTATAACTATTTCGCCAGAATTTAATTATGTTGATTGATATATTGAAGGCGTGTAATGAAATTGTAGGCATTTCAAGCTACATGGGGTGCAGCTTGTAAGGTGGAAGCATCAACAGTTATGGTGCCTTCGGAACATGTGTTCCTAGTGGGGCCCACTTCATTCTCCGGACCTTACTGCCAACACAACATTGTTTTCCAGGTATATGTTCCGTACATTTCTTTTGAAGTCATGAGACTAGAAGTTGTCAATTTAAAGGCCGATAGAGAATAAAAAGTGGCATGCAACAACTATTAAATTAAAGAAGAGAATCGAAAGCAATAAGCTGAGATTATTAGGGACAAATTTTTACAGAGACTTGATGACACTTACAACCAAAGGCTTTATTTGGATTGTGACTTGATAACGCTTTCTTTATGTGGCAGCTTGATGGCACAATCATAGCTCCAACAGACTCAAAGGCTTGGGGTTCAGGTCTTTTCCAATGGCTTCAATTCACAAAGCTGGTGGGACTTACAATCAAAGGTAGTGGAACAATAGACGGAAGTGGCTCCGTGTGGTGGCAGAATCGCCCACTCGATGATCTGAGAGACCATGAAATGAAACTAAATCCGGAGGCAATTCCAGTCACCCCCTCCTTTTAGTCCATTTTTTATCTCCCTCATCCCATCCTGCTTGTTTATTTATCCAATTACAACTCGTGATGCAGGAAAAAGGCTCACTTGGGGGGGAAATGCCAACCTTAAAGCCAACGGTAAGCCCAAACATATTATCCTCCTTAATCTACGCCTAGTTAAAGAGGTTGATATTACACATTATATACCGTACCCAATCAGGCAATGTTAAATTGACAATAATTATAATAATGTAGCCCAAACCATAATCTTAGACATCCAAAAAGATAAGATATATAGGTAACTAACCGAGTAAGTTTAATTTGATAAAAAAAATCAAGATCATCCACTATTAAATATAATTGATATAAAAGTGTTAGTTGCTTTTGTGACACGCTGCAGGCGCTTCGGTTCTATGGGAGTTTCAATGTGACAGTGACAGGTATAACAATTCAAAATAGCCCTCAATGCCACCTCAAATTTGATGACTGTGCAGGGGTATATGTGTACAATTTTACTGCCTCATCGCCTGGAGATAGCCCCAACACAGATGGAATCCATCTTCAGAACTCAAAGGATGTTCTTGTCCATAGCAGTAACCTTGCTTGCGGTAACAACTACTTACTTTTATATAATTCTCCACGCCAATACTGACGTACTTACAAGGTTCCATTAGTAATGTTGTGACTAGGGTATTATATGCACACCTTAGTGTTTCTCTCTTGAGATGCAAAGAAATGTAACTGTCTTTTCAACTAGGGAACATTACCCTTCATTATATTTATAGATTATAGAGGTGCTAATCTTAATCAACTCATCAGTCAGGAGTAAATATCTATACACATTTGAGTCTTATATATACTTTATAAGACAATATACTAGTCCACTAAAATTAATATCAATAGAACCACTGATTTTAGATCTAATCATAATATAGCATAGAATATACAAAGATATATATTGTGAATATTACATGTAATACGAGCCCATGATCTACCGTACATATGAATGGATCAAGAGCTAGCTTATTCTATCCTCTTTTATTATTAATATCACATCAAAAAGTGTCCCTATTGTATTCTTTTATTTAGAGTTACATTTTATTTCATAAAATATTCAATTAGAGAAAGAGGTACTCTATTCTCTATCCTCACATTTCTCTCTAAAACGGCACTGTTCTATTTTCGATGTTTTTTTGCTAAGTTAGGAAGGTTAAAGAGTTTTTTAATTATGACATTATAACTTTGTTTCTTTCCAATATAAACTATCCAAATAAAAGAAATCACCCTAGTATAAATAGCAGTAAAAATGTTTGTGACGAATTTCAAAATAAAACCGCTATATTTTATTCTCTAAATATGAGTAATTGTTGTTATGTTTTAACATAATCGAACTTTGAATATGACAATATTTTTGAAACTTTGCACTAGTTATTTCTTTTTATAGAATAAAAATATAATACTCTTATTTTGGAAATCATAAACATTCTCACTCCTATTTCGGGAACTTTCCCTTCAAATAATAAGAGTATATGTTAAGTTCAATCCATACATAATGTAGAGGTGGTTTAAAAAGATAAAATTATATGTATGCATATGTATGCAACAAATATCTATAAACGGCCATGAATCCTCTTCCCTCTCTGCTCAACCACCGGTAAAATTTTGAGGGCGGATGAGGTCGGAGATGGAAACGGCTGAGGTGAGAGACGATGCGGCAGCGAGTGATCTGAACCCGGATGATGGTGGTGTCCCTTCAGAACCGTCTCGACCTGACAAGGGGAAGGCTACGACAAGCGGAAATGCTGGGCGGGAGACTGGGGCGTCGAGCTCTGGCGAACGGGTGGCAGATATGATGGCACGCCTCCACCTCACAACAACTGAGGCGACGGCGGTAGTCCTGGATGACGAAGACGACTCAGATTTGGTAGATCTGGACCTGGCGATTGTGGGCAAAGTTCTGGCTCCTAATGTCCTCCACATCCAAACAATTTCTTCGGCGATGAGGCCGGCCTGGGGAAATCCAAAAGGTTTGGTCTTCAACTCAGTCGGGGACAACTTATTCCTGGCAGAATTTGGCTTGAAGCTGGACCTGGAAAGGGTGCTGGATGGTGCACCCTGAGTGGTGGGTAAGCACGCTGTTCTGTTGCGGAGGTATAATCCTGACCTGAAGCCTCTGCACATCAAGTTTGATAGGATGGCTCTCTGGACCAGGATATACGCTCTTCCTCCCCGTATGATGCTTGCCAAGCGGGGGGTTGAGATTGCAAAACCAATTGTCCAGGTGTTGAAAGTTGATGCCGACAACAAGGGCCGCTGTTGGGGAGGGTTCATGCGTCTACGGGTGGAGGTCGACATCAATGAACCCCTCGTCCGCTTTGTTACAGTCACCTCAGCTAGGGACAGAACTACGGAGAGGTATGAGGTCAAGTTTGAAAGGTTGCCTTTCTACTGCTTCTCATGTGGTCGTTTGAGGCACTCACATTTGGCGTGCGTGTTACCGGAGGAAAGAGAAGAGGATGGGAGTTTACCTTATGCAGCAAAACGCCTGTGTGTGGCAGAGGAAGGAAAGAGACCTAGTGGCACTAAATCGGGCAATACGTCTTGTTCAAATGGGGCTGATTATTGTGCTCATGACTCCTCCGGGGGTTCCTCTCGCTCAGCATTCACTGGGGGTAGAGGGAAGAATTCAGGCAACTATAAGCAGGAGGCAGATGAGGTGACTTCGCCTTTGAAGAATGACCGTGCTGGTGGTCGGGGCCGTGGCAGGCAAGGCCGGAGACGGGGACGGGGCCGGGCTCGTGGTGTGGAGATTGGCAGAGAGCTATTTCCAACTCAGATGACAGACACCTTGATGGCGGGACAGAAGCGTAAATTGGCCAAAGAGTACAAAACCAAAGGAGGTCTTGAGCTGGGATTAATATCTGTTCCTATTGTCCAGTCTTTGGTCCTTTCTACAAAGGCTGGGACATCTGAGGCTAATGTGGTTCACTCAGGGGATGTCTCGAGTGATGTGCATGCTAGGGACCCAAACAAGAAACAGAGGACTCAAGTTCGATCGGCGGATCCGGCGGAGGCTGCAAGGCAGCCCCGCCAAACGCAATGAGTCTGTTCTGCTGGAACTGTCGCGGCTTGGGGTCGGACGCGACAGTTGGTGAACTTCGCTGGTTAGTGAAGACTTTTCGACCTGCCATCCTCTTTTTGTCTGAAACTAAGATGCAGGATTACAGGGCAAAGAATTTTATGTGGTCCTTGGGCTACCAAGGTTCATTTGCAGTTGTCAAGGACTTAGTGGAGGTTTGGCTCTTTTCTGGTTGCAGCAATTTTTAGTGTCTCTTAAAGGGTTCAATGCCCATTGTATTGATGTTGTGGTTTCCTCGGAAAACACGGTACCGTGGCGGGCAACCTTTGTCTATGGGGAACCGAGGGGTGAACTACGTCATGTGTTTTGGGACCTGCTCCGGAGGCTTCACCGTCAGATGGAAGGTCCGTGGATTTGCTGTGGTGATTTTAATGAGGCATTGACACATGATGAACATTTTGGGACCAAAGATAGATCCAATGCTCAGATGGAACTCTTTAGGAGTTGTATGGAGGACTGTGGCTTACGAGATTTGGGTTTTACGGGTCCGAAATTCACATGGACAAACCGTAGGGAAGATCTTTGTAATGTCTAAGTCCGACTCGACAGAGCTGTGGCTAATGGGGCTTTCACTGCCCTTTTTGAGTATTACCAGGTGGAAAACGTGATTACAACTTCCTCTGACCACTTTGCCATATCAATCTCCCTCGATTCTCATTGCTCTCCACACAATCATTCCATTCAGATGGGCTTCAAATATGAAGCAATGTGGCGCAGGGCAGCTGATTATAACCGTGTGGTGGAGGCAGCCTGGTCAGCCAATAGCAACGGATCGGGGTCTTTGCAGACTACTTGGTCAAATCTGAACCGTATGGCTGGATCCCTCCGTGAGTGGAGTAGAATGAAGTTTGGTTCAATTCGAAAACAAATACAAAAATTGAGGAAGCAGCTCCATCGTATGCGTTTGGCCCCTGTGAGTAACTCTGACCTTATGGAGGAACGTAATCTGGAAAAACAACTGTGTGAACTCTTTGAGAGGGAAGAGATTATGGCAAAACAAAGATCCAGAGTGGAGTGGCTCAGAGAAGGGGACCGTAATACTGCCTTCTTCCATGCACGAGCATCAGCCAAGAGACGCACAAACTTTATCAAGATGCTTGTGAGGGACGATGGCACTAGATGCATGGATCAGAAAGACAAATTGATGATGGCCCAGCTGTTTTATGAGCACCTCTTCACCTCTGAAGTGTGTGAATCAGCTGAGGTGGTCCTGAATTCCATACCGGTGAAAGTGGATGACTCTATGAACGCAATGCTTTGCAAGCCCTATACCAATGATGAAATCCGATGTGCTTTGTTCCAGATGGGGCCCACTAAGGCCCCAGGGCCTGACGGATTCCCAGCATTATTCTACCAAACCCACTGGGAGCTGGTAAAGGAAGATGTTTGTAATGCTATTGAGGTTTCCTTAGAGGTGATACCATCCCTGATGGGTTCTGTGACTCTATTATTGTGCTTATTCCGAAGGTTGCTAAGGCCCAACTCCTCTCAAAGTTTCGACCGATTAGCCTTTGCAACGTTTTATACAAAATTGCTTCTAAGGTGGTGGCTAACAGGTTGAAGATTCTGCTGCCAGATGTGGTTTCAGAGTTTCAAAGTGCCTTTGTACCTGGTAGATTGATTACTGACAGTGCTCTGGTTACGTTTGAATGTCTGCACACGATTAAAAAACAACAAAGTAAGATGCCCTATTTTGCTCTCAAGCTCGACATGATGAAAGCATATGATCGGATTGAGTGGTCCTATCTTGATGGTTGCTTAAAGAAGCTGGGTTTTTTCCCCTCCTGGATTGTTTCAGTCATGCGGTGTGTGACGTCAGCAAGATACGCAGTTAGGGTCAATGGAGAGCTTACTACACCGGTGGTGCCTTCAAGAGGTATACGCCAAGGGGACCCTATTAGCCCCTATTTGTTTCTTCTCTGTACCGGAATTTGTACTGCTGCAAGGAATTTGTAACGGAAAGCAGGGCCCCACTATTTCCCATTTATTATTTGCAGATGACAACATTTTCTTTGCGCGAAGCAATCCAAGGAGTTTGGAAGCTTTAAAGGAGGTGCTGAGGGTATATTGCGAAGCTTCTGGCCAGAAGATTAACCTTAAGAAATCTTCTATTTTCTTTGGCAATCACTGCCCCGACATGGTCAAACAGGAAGTGAAGAATTATATGGATGTTCACAATGAAATCCTACATGATACTTACCTCGGGATGCCGACTGAGATTAGCCGGGCAGCCACAAATTCTTTCAAGTTCTTACCTGACAGGGTGTGGAAACGGATAAATGGATGGACTGACAGGCCCCTATCACGAGCTGGGAAGGAAATAATGTTAAAATCAGTGCTTCAGGTTATTCCAAACTATGTCACGAGCTGCTTTCATGTTCCGATTTCGGTATGTGAGAAAATGAAGACTACCATTGCAAACCATTGGTGGGGCATGGAAAATGGCAAGAAAAAAATGCACTGGAGATCTTGGGAGTGGTTATCCTCCCCAAAATCCCTGGGTGGAATGGGTTTTCGGGACTTTGTCCTCTTTAATCAAGCGATGTTGGGTAGACAATGTTGGCGCCTTATCACAGAACCAACATCCCTTTGTGCGAGGGTCCTTAAAGGACGATACTACCCTAACGCAGATTTTTTGTCGGCTTTGAAATCCTGATCCTCTTCTTTCACTTGGCGAAGCTTGATTTTTGGGCGTGATCTTGTGATGAAGGGACTCAGGTGGCGGGTGGGGAGTGGGAACTCGATTTGAATTCTCCAGGATAATGGGATCTCGGGCTACGCTGCTGGCTGCTTTAGCACACTTATCCCGATTCCCTTAAATGTTACGGTGCAGTTCTTAATGCGTGATGGGCTCAAAGCTTGGGATGAGGCTTTAGTCCGAAGCTTCTTTGATACAGAGATTGCACATCAAATTCTACAGACCCCAATCAGTCAACATGGTGAGGAAGATTTTGTGTCCTGGCCGCATGACAAGGTTGGAATGTATACGGTGAAATCTGCCTATTACCTGGCCAGGTCAGAATCCTTCTTTATCTTCAGAAGTAGGGGTGGCAGGGGGCTTTCTTCTGATGGGGCGACCGAGGAGAAGAGTTGGAAGGCTCTCTGGAGGATAGAAGCTCCTAGTAAGATGAAGATTTTACTATGGCGGTTTGCACATGACTGTCTCCCAACAACGTTTCAACTTCAGAAACGTAACATCCCTGTCCTAGACGGCTGCATTTTTTGCAATCGGGTCGAACGTGTTGAGCATTGCTTCTTGATGTGCCCCTTTGCAAAATCAATTTGGAACACTATCAAGGTACATTATCCTATCAAACTATGCAGGAAAAGCTTAAGCAATGCTAAGTTTTGGTTGTTTACCTTTCTGGCCAGTGAGACCGCTAGACATTCATCAGTTCTTACGGTTACCTTTTGGCATATTTGGATGGCAAGGAATGAGGCCCGCAATAATGAAGGGGTGCTCCACCCTCAAAGGGTGGCAGACAAAATTATCGCCTACTTGGAAATGCTTGCGCAGCACAGCTTTAAACCCTTGACAACGAGCCGAGGTAATTCTGGTTCTATGGACCTTCGTTGGGTTCCACCGGCGCGTGATGTGGTCTGTATTCATGTGGACGCTGCCCTCTTCCTTAGTTATCGTAAAATGGGCGTGGGGGTAGTGATTCGGGACCACACAGGGCATTGTTTGCTTGCTTGCAATGAACGGTTTGATAAAGTCACTATCCCTGGACTTGCTGAAGCTTTGGCTGTTCGGAGTGCGCTCAATCTTGCTCGGGCTGAGGGTTTTCAGAAAATCAGCGTTGCTTCAGATTTTCTTTCTGTCATTCAACGTGTCCAAGCTCGTGATAGGGACCGCTCGGTGCTGGGGCCGGTTATTGCTGACATTAAAATTCTGGCTCGTAACTTCCTTGTTTGTTCTTTTAAGCATGTTAATCGGGGATTGAATATGACAACACATAATTTAGCTCGAACTTGCGAGTTTAACTGTGATCGTGTTTATCGTGATGTAATCCCGGAATGTATCCGTGATGTACTTTGTAATGATTTTACTTAATCTATGAAATGCATGTTTCTCTCAAAAAAATTATATGTAAAAAAACTTCTTACTTTCCTCTCCTCCTGTTGAAAAGTCTTAACATAGTGTAATTGTAAACCAATGAACACATCCATGATCTGAATTCAGAATCCATTGGAAAAAATGACAACATTAAAATGGGGAACCTCCTCAAGTGTAACAGCTCCCTTACATATATGGTATTTCTCAAAACGATCATCAAATATACACATTGTATCTAACCATTGGGGTTACCTCAAGAAAACTTCCAAGGATATTTTAATTTACATTAGAGTTTTTTAAGAAACATGATTGAACAATAACGGTCATTGCACTTCATGATTGACAAGTACCAGTCTGTACAAAAAACACAAAGAGGCCTTAGGAAATATCCCTATACAATTTGGTCAAGCATAAGTTTACTCCAGACCAGCTCAGCACATTTTGTGCATCTAGACAAACAAAAATGGTCTCTAGCTAATAGACATTTTGTTTTCTACAGGTGACGATTGTGTTTCAATTCAAACTGGATGCACAAATGTATTCATACACGATGTATATTGTGGTCCGGGGCACGGAATCAGCATTGGAGGATTAGGAAGAGACAACACAAAAGCTTGTGTCTCAAATATCACAGTGCGTGACATTATTATGCGTAACACCATGAATGGTGTAAGGATAAAAACATGGCAGGTACGGAAACCTTTTCGAGGCATATCATACTTACTCTATGAGTGCTACTTCATATCAAGTGGCCCCTCAGCTGCAATGGATCAAAACATACCCTTGGTGTGACTTAATATTTAAACACCAAACCAACTTCACGTACTTCAATTATTGCCACATTTTAATTAACTAATTGTGTATGTGCAGGGTGGGATAGGTTCGGTGAAAGGCATTCGATTTTCGAACATTCAAGTTGATGAGGTTGAAGTGCCAATAATAATTGACCAATTCTATTGTGACAAAAGAGCATGCAAGAATCAGACAAGTGCAGTAGCTGTATCGGGAATCCACTACGAGAACATCATAGGGACATACACAGTGAAACCAATCCATTTTGCATGCAGTGACAACACGCCGTGTTTGGATGTGACCTTAGATAGGATCAAACTACAACCACTACAAGAGCGCTACCGAATGTATGACCCATACTGTTGGCAGACATTTGGAGAGTTGTACTCTCCTGCTTCCCCTCCCGTTCAATGTTTACAAGTTCATAAGCCATCTAGCAGCGTGGATCACAATCAATGTTGAATCATTATTAATTTGTGAGGTCGGCGTGGTTTTTCCAACCCCCCTTCACACCATTAGTTAATTAGTCATGTAATCTAGGAATTAATTTGATTAGTGGCAATATTAGATTATACAAAAAAAAAAACTTTGTTCAATTACTAGGGCTTTGTTCGAGTTAGAACATGCATGTGTCATAATGTATAAATAAAGTTTGGAATACAACAAAGTAAATTCTCAAGTGGTAGGTTATTTAGTTAACTTAGTGAGTCAAAGAAGGTCTTCTTATTGAGAGAGAGAGAACAACGAGTTTAAAGGGAATGAGAGTTTAACTATGACAAACCGATGTATAATCATTTGGAAATAAATTGTCAACAAGTAAAAAAGGAAACATTTTTATTGCATGTATCTATGCCAATATTCTTTTAAAGGGAAAAGTCTGGAGAAAAATTAAAAGTGCCTTGTATTGTCTCTCAGATTCTTCAGGAAACAAGACCCATTACCCTTCACCTTTCTTACTAGTGTATTTTCACATTTATTCGTATGAGATCACAAGTCTTAATCATTTATCTATATAGTCGTGTTTACTTACAACTTTATTTATAATTTGACTTATTCGAGTAGATGTTTTTTACTTAATCGTTCAACTAAATTTCTATATTCCGTACGCTTTAGATGCCACAAATTAAAAGCCTTCTTTGTTTTAACCCTGGCTCTATGCATATTTCATCGCTTCTCCTCAAATATCATCACCAACATTACAAAGCCTATGAAATTGGGGAGCTGCTTGTGATTTCTCACGAAAGAAGTGGAAAAATTTATCATCACCAAGATCTATTTAAGGGTTTTAGTTCTGTTTAAGATTCCATACTTTCTCCTAACACTCAATCTAATGCTCACTTTGTATTATCCATGCTTTGCATTCGCTTGTAAATCGATTATATTTATATATTGAGGTAAGTTTTTGTACTTTAACTAATGATGGTGTAATTGACAATTGCTTCAATAATTTATTCATTTCTCTTCCTATTACAATGACTAATAACAACACTATCGAGAGAGCAGCACTCTGTAATTGTTTTATGTTGAAAATGTGTTAAGGTGCACTACCTGATTGTGCACCAAAGCAATTACCCCCACCACTAAAATATCAGAAATGACGTCAAATACTTCATATTTCCACATAAAACAATTCGTGTATCAACATCTAGAAATTTACACATATTTTCATTCTTAAGAAATATACACATACTATTCGTGTATGCCAGATTATATGTGTACTATTTACATATATAGTTTAGTGAAGTGCAGGCCCGGCCTTGAAAAATTGAAGGCCATGTTCAAAATAAAATGAGGCCCTAATATTTAATTTAATAAAATAATGCCAATAATACAATAATTTTTTTTTTATAAAATGTAATTTACTTGATGAAGTAAACACCAAGAATGTCAAAATTTCATTCAAAATTTTGAACTTAAACTACGCTTATTTAAAAAACGCTTTCTTTCTATAAAATTTGAAATAAAATCTTCAATAAAGCAGATCCATTGAGTGTTTCCAACGTTATCCATATATTGGGAAAGAATTGGGAAAGGAAACTTGTGATATGGATCAATAAAAAGGTTAAAAGAACGTATATGAAAAGTATTTCAAACATGAACAACGGTCTTGAAAAGCAACGAAGTCAATAACGAAGCTTAGCATTTGTACTTAAAAAATTGTACTTATATATATTAGTATTCGTACTTATAATAATTAGTAATAGATATAATATTTGGTATCGTTTTTATTTTGATTGGTAATTAGAGAGCAAGAACTAACAAAGTTAGTTTAACTCAAAACGTTTATTACATAAGGTATAAGTACGCTTAAAGAGAAGAGCAATCAAAAAGCTCTACTTGGTCCGGTGGTAGGGACTCTGCTATTTTGCTATGGGAACAAAGGATCGACTCCCAGCTCCAAATATTTTCTAATTTATTACCGGTTTTACTCTTTTCTGGGCCCAGTCTGGGCTCAATCCGGATTGACCAAAACAAGACGCGATTCACAATTCACAAATAGCACCGGGTTGGCGGGTTGGGCCGCTGACTAAGGTTATTTGATAAAAAAATTATTGGGCATAGGTATAATACTATGCTATTAAAATTGGAGGCCCTCTTAAGATTGGAGGCCCTGTGCAGGTGCTCCAGTTGCACCTGGGCCGGGCCGGGCCTGGTGAAGTGGATAAGTGGGGTAATCATATTGTATTTGACAACTTCGATCTTTTGGCTTATCAGTTCTTTGCGTCATCATATGTTTAAGAGGAGACCGACCTTTGGGTAAATGAGATTTATTTTGAGAGGGGCCTTGAATTGATAAACTAGTTTTCATTAACATATTGACGACGACTTATTCAATCAATTGGAAAATGAATTGACTCCTTATCAAGTTTTGATACCCACAAATGTGAAAAGGGCGAGTTGAAAGTGAGGTTTTCCATCCTAAAAGAGACGACTCCTTATCATTTGTTGATACAAAGTAATGTGATTACTACTTCTTTTATTGTTCAGGATTTATTATATAATATAACATTGAAGATGATTTATTCAATCAATGGGACAACGAAACTATACTCAACAATATTATGAAGCCCAAGAGGAAGGATAACAAATTGAAGAATTCACGGGATGAAATTACTGATAGACTTGTAGAGAATGTTTAAAATTAAAATGTTGTGATTTTTAGCACGTATCTGATGCGATTTTTACCATTACTTAAGTAATTCATTACAATGATTTTTATGCATATGAAATTCAAAATTTGTTATTTGGCCCAAAAAAGTAAAGAATGAACTTTAATAGTTGAGTATGTAATGTGTTTTTGTTTTAGTAAGTCATAGTACAATGAACTTTATATATATATATATATATATATATATATATATATATATATATATATATATAGAATTTTATTCATGTCCGGAATTCCGGACAGGAACCGCCGTCCGGACGGTGGCGTTTCGCCGCCTTCCCGGTGACATTTTTTGATGAAATTTTTATGGCATGTTCTCCATCAAGTCTAGTTTATCCACACAAAAATTCAGCCAAAAACTCAATCGGGAAGGTCGTCAAATGATTTTTGCAAGTTAACTCGTCCGGAATATGTATTTTCCGGACCAGTTAACTTGCAAAAATCATTTGACGACCTTCCCGAATGAGTTTTTGGCTGATTTTTTTTGTGGATAAACTAGACTTGATGGAGAACATGTCATAAAAATTTCATCGAAAAATTCCACCCAGAAGACGGCCAAACGCCGCCGTCCGGACGGCGGTTCCGGTCAGGAATTCCTGACCGGAAGAGTGCTCTATATATATATATATATATATATATATATATATATATATATATATATCAAGAAAGTAAACAAAATATATGCATTCAACATAGAGTTATTTGGTCATTTAGTCTAATTCAGACTGGGTATCTCATTCGGCATAAATAGTAAACAACTTGGTATCTCTATGACACTTAATTCAGACATACATTTTAATTCAGACACGCGTCCTAATCCATTGAGGACTTCGATGAAAAAAACATATTAACAACCCCTTCCTCTAATCTAATAAAGTTTTGAACCTAGCTAAGTAGCTAACAATGCATATATAGTGCTTGTTTGGAAAAAAAGTTAATTAATCATTATCAACCCGCACTATGTAATCTGGTTCGCTGACTGGTGCACATTCTACACATATCAGCCAAACCTGCCATCATATGTCTAATATCCTTAAAACTTATATCATTATAATGCAATCCCTCCATGCATGCAATTTCTTTCACATGCAGGCTAGAGCTTGCTTCTTGTACTCATTGCTCTGGTGATCTTGGAGAGGAGACGTGGTTCTGTTTTTGGATAGTAATAACTTGCTCATGGATATTTTTACTTTAGAGCCTGCGTGCTCATGTTTGCCCCGTGTGGCATTTGGTTTTAAAATATACTTTCCGCTGCATATTGAATTGCTTATTATATTTGCTTATGGTTAAACTTTGTGTCCATGATATTCATGATGCCTTGTATGATTCGGATAAACTTGACCTAGGTTGACTTAATTGAGTTGTATGGCGGTTGTTGACATGTCTGGGTATGTCCGAGGTGTGACAATTAAATTGATATCAGAGTGTTAATCCATAAACTTCATAATGAAGTCTCAAAATTCTCTTTTCAAAATGATCGAATTTGAAAATCATGAGCATATGAAGTTTTGTACTTATAGAACTCTTGGTACTAAAGTTGCAATGTCTCTAATAGTTAAGATGATACCCTTAGCAATTGGTATGGCGGCGATTCGAGCCAAGAAGTGTCTTAAGTACATATCCGTCAATTGACATTTGATATGAGTCTAACAACTCATTCTAAACTTTCTTTTAGAATGGAACGTGGGGGATGAATCACGAGAAGGAACCTGACGGGACGGACACCGGGTGGGACCGGGAATGGCAGTCAGGCAACCTCAAGAGTGTTTAGAAGGATGGGCCGTGGAGGTCAATCAGAGGACGTGAGCGACGGTCACGTAGAAACTGAAAGCGGAACCTACTGGACCTATGAGAACTCTACCTATCAACCGGAAACTGAACTGGTTGAGACCCCCTTTGAGGGGGGGGGGGAGATGATGAGGTGAGTGAGGAGGAAGCCATGGTGACTCTAGGGCCCACATCAAACCACGTGGAGGTCGAGGTATTGAGGGTCGAGTCATAAGGATCTCGAAGTACCTCAAGGAGGTCAGAGATTTGGGATGCAAATCGTTCAATGGTACGGGGGACATCTCTATTGCTGCTGAATGAGTCAAAAGGTTGAATGAGGCATCCTTTGATATGCAACTCACTCTTGAGTTTAAATTAAGGGTCGTGGTGAGATTACAAGAAGGGATGACGTCCACATGGTAGGGCGGGATCAAATACAAGTACATTGGGATTGCCACGTGGGTTAGCTTTCAACAAGAGGTTTTTGATGAATACTACTCCTCTTTTGAAGTAAACTTGAAAAGAAGAGAGTATACTAATCTAACCCAAGGTGGTGAGTTGACACTGAGACAACTTGAGCACAAATTCATATCACTCGCTAAATTTATACCAGAGTATGCATGTGATAAAAACTGAATGGTCAATCACTTTTGGATGTCTTGGACTTGGAGGTGCATGAGAGGGCAACACACTTGTCTATTTTAGGAGGACTCTAACGGGTCTGTTAA